GTCCATTTTGAAAAATCCCTCTCATGCTAACAAGCCCTACATTGTTGCACATGATATGATCCTTTCTCATGCTGCTGCAGTGAAAAGATACGTGACAAAATGAACTCATCATGCATTTCATCGATCATATTTGTAGGAAACTCAATGGTGTGCTGAAACTTAAATTGATAAAAGGGTAAATTTCACTAAATCCCCCTTGAGTTTGGTCATTTTTGTCAGATAACCCCCTAGCTAACACTGTTAGATCTAACATGAATGTGAAAAATGTCCGTCCAAATGACCAAAATTCCCCTGGAGAGAAAACTTCCTGTCCTTTTTAATAGTTTTAAAGGTAATTTTCATCATACCTGCTTCAGTTTGGTCATTTATTAATGATTAGTTAATCTAATCAATTATTGATTTAGTTTAATTTGATAATTGGAATGTTAATTTGAAAAGGGTATTTTGGTCCTTTTTCTCAGTTCATCTGTCACGTTTAGGGGGTAGTTGCAAAAAAAAATGAAAACCTTGTATATTTTATGTGTGGTGTGTGGTGCTTTTTTTCTTTTTATTTTCTTTTTTTTGGGGGGTGGAAACACCCCACATCCAAGTTTAAATTGAGAAAACTTACAGTTTTGAAGCTTCAATTCAGTTGTTGCCTGACTCTCTGCTTGGAAAGAACTACTTGATAGACTATAGATCACCGCACTCTGATAACTCAAATGTAGCTATGATTTTAATTGACATTTATTATTTCTAATATTTTCAGGCTACACAGAAAGGCAGGATAGGAATTCTCTTGGATTTTGTTTGGTATGAACCTTTATCAAACTCGACTGACGATCAAGCTGCGGCTCAAAGAGCCAGGGATTTCCATATCGGATGGTAATTACTATCAAAACTTCATCGATGCAACAACTTTGTGGATATCTAGCAATTAATGGAGTATATATTATTTTTCAGGTTTCTTCACCCTATAATATATGGAGAATACCCGAAAAATTTGCAGGAAATCGTCAAAGATAGGCTCCCAAAGTTCAATCCAAACGAGGTTAAAATGGTCAAAGGTTCCATAGATTTTGTGGGAGTTAACCAATACACAGCTTACTATATGTATGATCCTCATACTCCATTGAAAGCAAAACCTAGTAGCTATGCTGTCGACTGGAGAGTTGGATTTGCTTGTAAGATATGATATGTCTGACATATTTAGTTAAAAGACCACATATAATTTATGTTGATATCTTATAAGCTTATTTTGACTCAATTTTGCAGATGATCGTAATGGAGTGCCAATTGGACCACGGGTAAATATTGGAATTTAATTACACTGATAAATTCAATGTTAACCCATTATATTATTGATTGATTGGTAACTCTATAACTACATCTCTCAAGTAATGCAAACTGTCAGTGATCTCACTAGTGAAAATTTTAGCACTATTGAATTTCAAAGGGTAAATTTCACAAATGAACTTTTTTTCACTAAAGTATCATAACTGATGGCAGTTATTTTAGTTTATCATGTACTTCACTTGCGACATGTTTTGGACAATTTTCTCCCTATATACTTAATATTTATGCTATTTACCCTATCCCCTCACCTATTTTGAAATTTATTGGTGGTTTTTCTCTAGTTTTGTGAAACTTGCACATTCCAAATGTAGAAGATTGTCCTAAAACAAGCTAAGGTATTTCTTGTTTTCCCTAACTGGCGAGCAATGTTAAAATTCTTGCAGGCAAACTCTAAGTGGCTCTACATCGTGCCATGGGGAATGTACAAGGCCGTTACATATGTTAAGGAAAACTATGGCAACCCTACCGTTATTCTATCTGAAAATGGTAATTTTCTTCTCATTTTTAGCACGCGCTACTTATTATCAGATACCTAATCTTGAAACTATATAATAGGAATGGATGATCCCGGTAATGTCACACTTCAAGTTGGGCTACACGATACAACAAGGCAAAATTACTACAAGAGCTACATTACCGAGCTCAAGAGGGCAATTGATGATGGAGCAAATGTGATAGGTTATTTTGCTTGGTCATTGCTTGATAACTTTGAGTGGAAGTCTGGATATACTTCAAGGTTCGGTTTGGTCTATGTGGACTTCAAAACCCTGAAGAGGTACCCTAAGATGTCAGCGTATTGGTTTAGGGATATGCTTCAGAGAAAGAAGCATTAATAGTTTGCTATAAACTTGTTATTTAGAGTGAATTACCCCGTTTGTCGTTCATCGGGGTGGTTGTACTTTACATCATCACGTATACGTCTGGTTATAGAGAGGTTTAGTAGTTGAATAAGAGTAAATTGGACTAGATTCGGTATGAATCTAGGATTTTAATTCTCTCTTTGTTATGAGGATGCTAATGTAGAATGAAGCAATGATCAACCTCAGTGAAGAAAGCATACTTTGGTTAAACGAGCTTAAATTATGTTGATCCATCTTATTTTGTTTGGCTGTCTTTGATAAAACCATAAAAAATTGGATTAGGATTGATTCTGGTTCAGTTTTATCCTAACCTGACTTGCTTTATTGGGCGTGGACCAAAAGAAGCAGGTTTAGTGCCAAAATTTGGCCTAAAAATTGGTCAACCTTAACCTAAATTTTGTTGAATATAAGACAGTTCAAAACAAAACAATTAAAAAATGGGTATGAGTCAATCCTATCCCAATTTTATGAGTTTGCCAAGCATGTCCTTTGCAAGTATAGATGGGTTCAAATTATGAGACAAATGACTAGGAAAAAATAACAGGAATATATATTGGTTTAGATGTGAATTTGATTACCTATGGTTAGCCGACATCTTTTTCTGCTTTAGGTGTTACTTTAGGGGGTGTTTGTTTCACTCTTTTTATAGAATAGGGATAGTAATTGGATCTGATAGGGACAAAACTATAAATAAATGATTCTAAATGTATCATATTCCTAAGTTTGGTTTATAAAATTTTTATAGATTTTTCGAAATCTATAAAGTTGGAAAAGAGGAGAGTTTTTATGGAAACTCAAATCCAATGGGTTTGTGTGAAATTGAGTAAAAAAGCTGACATCATCCACTTCATTTTCATTTCTCTTTATTTTTCGGAATCCGCCGCACCACAAACCTTAGACTGGGTTTCGGCCTTCTCCCGTTAATCTTCTCCCGCCTCTTCTCAATCCTCTTCGTGCCTCTTCTCGAATCGTTCTTTGATTTCTTTTTCAAAGAAGGCTCAGGATCGAGCTCTATTGTCGGTTGTTGGTTTCGATTTATGTCGGTTTAGCATTCTGTTTACAGCTTCGATTACGAGCTTTGAGTTGGCTTCGGTGGGTTTGTTACTTTGGTGGGTTGTTGTCGGTTGGTTAGGGTTCTGTTTACAGCTTCGTTCTTGAGCTTCTTTGATCGATTACGATCTTCGATTTTGATCATTGATGCCGAGTTGAGTAGGCTTTGTTGTTGCGGTTGGTTGCTGTCAGTTGGTTACTGTCAGTTGGTTGCTTCGGTTTTCAACTTCGATCTTGAGCTTCTTTCTTCGATTTTGAGGTTTGATCCCAAAATTTCTCGGTTGGTTGCCTCGGTTGGTTGCTTTGGTTTTTAGCCCTGAATTACCCCTTTGGCAGTTGAAGGTATAAATCTATAACTCATTTAAAAAAAATTAATATATGATCATGGATGGTTATTTATCATGGTTGATTTCTGTTTGTGGGAAAATTAGATGAAGAAAATTGAGATATGATTTATTGTATTATCTTTCTAACTGGCTTAGAAAAAGAATGAACACAATTCTCTCAATACAATTTCTTTCTAATTGACTTTAGAAAAAGAAATTACACTCTCCTTAATCAGAATCCCGATTCATAAAAGAGAAGAAAATCGACAGAGATCCTCCCCTTTGTTTAAGACTGGGTTCTTCACGATAACGATGAGATGCCTCCTTCGACGTTCGTATCGAGTTTGCTTCTTGTTGACGATCCGACGTTTCACTTCGCTGGAACGATTGATGGAACTTGCGTGGCAAGTGTGAAACTCTTAACAAGTTAAAGAACTCTGAATGAGTTGAAAAACTCTGTAAAAGAGTTGATTTGAACCGAAAATCAGTTAATAAGCCAAGGCTAAAAGCTCAAAGGACTGCTCCAAAAGATGAATATTGATCTCTCCTTTGTGCAGTTTTGATATCCAAAATTCCAGATCGAAGATCCCAAGAAGAAGATCCAATCTACCAAAAAGCTAGCGATCCCCAAAAGAGAGACACCAAGATCTCTTCTTTGCTGCTAAGCCGAAGAGTCCAAACTCAATTGAGATTACCCATATTTGTAGGGGTTTAGGGGTGTAACTGCCCCCTTAATCTGCTCCTAAGTGGGGCAGAAATCCCTCTAATTGTAGGTGAAAACAATTTCTAGAACCGTTCAGCTCGAGCTTGAACGAGTCAAATGTCGAAAATAACATTCTGGGACCAAACTCTGCGTTTTAGACCTGAAACACAAAGTTGGGCATTTCCAGTTAGCTCAAAATGCAGTGGCCGCATCGCTTTTTTGATCTGGAATGTAGAGTTAGGTTCTGTGTTTTTGGCTGAAAACATAGCAAGCTGAGTTTTTTTTGCCATTTATAAGGTTTTTTAGAGGTGTAACCATCCCCTAAAATCTCTCCTTAATGGGGTGTAACCGACCCCATTTCATGGAAAACGATTTCGAAACCGTTCAAGTGATTTAATGGGTGTAATCCCCCCCCCCTAAAATCATGGGAGAACGGTTTTAGAACCGTTTAACTCGTATTTGAATGAATCAAACGCAAAATATACGTTCTGGGATTGAAACGTAGAGTTGGGACCTACGTTGGCGGCTAAGAACGCACAGGTTGCACTGCATTTTGAATCTGGACTACAAGTCTGACCACTGCATTTTGAAGTTAGAATGCAGCTCTTGAGCTTTGTGTCTCATTTTGGAGCACATCTACGGGTTCTGTGTTTTGCTTCTGGGAGTTTGGAAGGCGGCCACGAGCTCTGCGTTTTGAATCTGGAACGTAGAGGTGAGCTTTGCGTCTGGATTTGAAGAGATCGTCAATTTATAATCTCTTTTGCTAGAGCGTTGCAAAGACCGTCATCTTGTAATCTTCGTCTTGGCTCTTTGAAAATATGAGAGTCGTCAGATTGTAACACCCGATGTTGATTATGAAGGCTGTTGATAAGAGCTTTCATCTGTTGTTGTGAAGGTCATCAGATTGTAATCTTTATTGATCTACGTGAAAATCTTTAAATTATAGCCTTCTGGAAGCCATTAAATTGTAACTTTCACTATCGATGTTTGATGGGGATCAACTATTGTTTGTTGGAAATTTGCAGTAAAAAGACAATGAAAGAAAATTTTGACTTGTATTTCTCTCAAAATCAATTACAATTTGGATTCCGATTACAAAAGAGAGGAGAATGAATTTGATTCTCCCCTTTGTTTAAAACTGGGTTCTTCATGGTGGCGATGGAGTGCCTCCCTCGAATGCTCGCGTCGAGTTTGCTCTCCGTTGACGATCCGACCGTCTTGATTCACTGGAATGTAGTCTTCTCCTCATGATTTGACGCTGTGGAGAACTTGCAAAGCGAGTTTGAAAATAACTCTTAACGAGTTGATAACTCAGAGCGAGTTTTAGAAGAACTTGCGGAGCAAGTTTAACTCTTAACGAGTTGATAACTCAGAGCGAGTTTTAGAAGAACTTGCGGAGCAAGTTTTGAACTCTGATCGAGTTGATAACTCTGAACGAGTTTGAAACTCTATGGAAGGGTTGATTTAAACCGAAAGTCGGTTATAAGCCAAGGCCGAATAACTTCAAATGCTTCAATTAAAAGCCTTCCAAAATGATTCAAGAGCTCCTTCAAGTCGTTGATCTCCAAAGCTCTCTGTTGCTGCCAAATCCCAGATCCAAAATATGCCAGCCTTTTGACCGAATCTCCCTTTGTTGATGAGAAAAAAATCTGAAGCTAGCCGAAGATCTCTTCTTTGCTGACCAAAAAAGAAGGATCTGAACTCAGTTGAGTTTCCCACTATTTATAGGGGATTTAGGGGTGTAACCGCCCCCTTAAATCTCTCCTTAATGAGGGTTTAATGGGGTGTAACTGCCCCTCATAAATCTCTCCATGATAGGGTAGTGATCCCCTAAAATCTTGGGGAGAAAACGGTTCTGGAACCGTTCAAATCGTGCTTGAACGAGTCAAACGCTGAAAACAGCGTTCTGGGCCCGAACTGTGCGTTTCTGGACCTGAAACGCACAGTTGGCCTGAAAGCGCACAGTTGGCCTGAAAACGCACAGTTGGGACGTTTTAGGCTGAAAACGCACAGTTGAGCCTGTAAATGCACAGTTGGCATGTTTCAGGCTGAAAACGCACAGTTGAGCCTGTAAACGCACAGTTGAGCCTGAAAACTCTGCGTTTTGATGTTATATCACGAGGATAACCTCTGCGTTTTGAGGTTATAACGCTGTCTGCGTTTTGAATCTTGGATGCAGAGGTGAGCCTTAGGTGGGCTCGGCGAGCTTCAGGCTAAGTCCGATGTTCTGACGAAGTCCAGTCTTGCAGACGGACTTCAGAACATAACTTGCTACGAAGAACAGGTCATTACTTTCAAACCGTAAGTCGGAATTGGACGAATTATATATGAAAATCAGCTATCTCGACGAGACGGGGCCATCCGAACCTAGCCAAAGGCTTTGGTTCGCTTTCTCCATTTTACCAAATTCCTTACGGTTTGAGAGATATATGCGTTTTAATATGAAAAGACCGTCAATTTGTAGTCTCTTTTGCTAGAGCTTTGCACAGATCGTCCTCTTGGTTCCTTGAAAATATGAGAGTCGTCAGATTGTAACTCCCGATGTTGATTGTGAATGCTTTTGAATTAGAGCTTTCATCAGTTGTCGTGAAGGTCGTCAGATTGTAGCCTTCTACGTGAAAGTCCTCAAATTGTAGCCTTCTGGAAGTCGTCAGATTGTAACTTCCATCATCGGTGTTTGATGGGGGATCAACTATCTATTGTGATTTTTAGACAGCCTACAACTATCTGCAGTGATTTTTTGACAACCTACAATTTCATAGTTGATGTTTGATAATTTAGAGCTTCGTTGCTTCGGTTATTTGTCATAGTTGATCATGGATGGTTATAAAATTGGTTATTTAATATATGAAATAGTAATTTTGTTTTAATTTTGTTTTAAGATCGCAATATATGAATTAGTTGGTTCATTATGAAAATGGATTTGTGGATATTTAGATATTTTGTTTTAATATTTCATTATATGTATTAGTTATTTAATTATTTTTAATCTTGAATAAGTGGAATTATTAAGTTCTAAATGTATGCTAATTTTATAATGGATGTAGATGGATAATGTAGATGAAGAACAATTAAAGAGGATGTGGGCTAATACAACTGTTTCTTCCGTGGTCACGATAATAACTTGTCTTCTGAGAATGCGTGCTAAGCGCAA